AACTGTATTTTATAAGTGGGTGAACTGTATTTTATAAGTGGGTGAACTGTATTTTATAAGTGGGTGAACTGTATTTTATAAGTGGGTGAACTGTATTTTATAAGTGGGTGAACTGTATTTTATAAGTGGGTGAACTGTATTTTATAAGTGGGTGAACTGTATTTTATAAGTGGGTGAACTGTATTTTATAAGTGGGTGAACTGTATTTTATAAGTGGGTGAACTGTATTTTATAAGTGGGTGAACTGTATTTTATAAGTGGGTGAACTGTATTTTATAAGTGGGTGAACTGTATTTTGTAAGTGGGTGAACTGTATTTTGTAAGTGGGTGAACTGCATTTTGTATGTGGGTGAACTGCATTTTGTAAGTCAGTGTTCCTATAGGACAGCAGAGCTCTTTCAACCATCAGGTCAATGGATAGCAAATAATTGTGTATATTTTAACACTACATTAACTTTCTCTGATTACTGTGTTGTCGGCTTACTTATTGATTGTAAATTAAAAGTGCATGTCTCAATAATTAAAATCCACTGTTTAGAAGTATTTATGATAATATATCAGTTACCATGGTAACAAGAATTATAATTGACTATAATTTGTTGTTTTATTTATAGACATTAAGACTGATGAAGCTGAGAGACCGGTATTGACGTTACAACAAAATCTGATTCCATTTCAAACAAGTAGAAATATAACAGATATAAAGATGGCTGAATGTTACATAGGTACAAAGATGGCTAGCCAAGAGGTGGAAAGTGATAAAGAGGTGAAAGACGATTCAGAGAAGAAAATGGTTATGTTATTTGGGATTGAAAAAGAGTTAATGAATGATGATGATACAGAATGTGTATCTGACCAGGACATTGAGGAATCAGATGTGGAACAAACAAACAATGGAGGAGAGAATGTAGAAACAGATATGTTAGGTCAGAGGTCAGATATTAGGGCAAGTAAAGTCAAGATTTTTACCCCTTCTAATGAGAGACGTAGACGACCAAGAATGAAAGCTGAACCTGTGGTAGAAATAGAAAAAACAGAAATGCTTAATTTACGAGGTGCTCAAAAACGGAAAGCTAGTTTGAAACGGGCACAGCGAGAAAAACAATTAGTGGATGAAGAAGCTTTAAATGAACCTGAGATAGAAACACCAAAAAGAAAACGCAGAAGAAAAACATCAGGAAAGATTCGAGGAAAGAAACATCTATGTGATGTATGTCAGAAAGTATTTAAAGATAAATGGCACTTACAGCGACATATGTTTACACATTCTGATGAAAAACCATTTAGTTGTGAAGCCTGTGGTAAAAACTTTAAATCACCTGTAAATTTACGTGAACATCAACTGATACATCAAGACAAACTGATATTTATATGTGAGGTATGCAGCAAAGGATTTGCTACAAAGCATCAATTAGATTGGCATGTAAAGAAATATCATACCAAGGCCAAAGGTCATCGATGTGAAATATGTGACCAACATTTCTCACGTAATACAGCATTAAGGGTACACAAAGAAGTTCATGCAACAGAAGAAGAAAAACAATTTCCATGTCAGATATGTGGAGAACGCTTTGCTTTTGTTGCTGGATACTGTATGCATCAAAAAACACAGCATGGTGCCAAAACATATGCATGTCCAGTGTGTGGTAAAACATCATCTGTGATGCTGAGTTTGGAAACTCATGTATCAGTACATACTGGTGAGAAAAGATACCAATGTGATGTGTGTGGTAAAGGATACATCTCTGAAGGTGGTCTAAAATGGCATCAGTCTACACATGCTGCAGAACGACCTTTCAAATGCACAGAATGTACGGCTGCTTTTTATACCAAATATGACTTACAAAAACATACATTAGTACACAGTGATAACAAACAGTTTGTATGCGAGACATGTGGTAGTCAGTTTAAAATGAAAAGCCATCTTGCAGAACATCAGAAACGACATACAGGGGAACTAATGAAGAAATATACCTGTCAAGAATGTGGGTCTGGTTTCTACACACAGTCACATTTGTCAAGACATCTAGCAATACATACTGGTATTAAACCTTATGCTTGTAATGTTTGTGGAAAGAAATACAGTAGACAAGATAATCTCCGTGTACATATGAAAACACATGGCATTACTGTCAAACCAAAAATGCCAAAATATAAAACTCGACCAAAAATTACAACAACAATACATGCAGAAAGTGAAGTGTCTAGTATAAGGGACAATTCCAGTACAAAAAGTAGTCAAAGTATGAACGCAGCTAAAGATGAACAACTGACAAGTGTACAAAATATTGTCCCAAATGTTGCTTCTACTGTTGCGAGTGATGAACAGAGAACTGGTAGTAGTGTGTATACTGGTAGACCTGACATATCAGCCACTGTAGAGAAACATGAAACAAGCAAAGATGAACCTTTGGCACAAACAGAGAGAAGTGACACAAGACATGACATATCAGGCACTTTGGAGAAGCTTGATATGACGCAGAATGTATCAGGTGCTGTGGCCGAAGTAGAAAGACATGATCATATCTCAACAGAAAAAACTACACAGGCTGGATCATTAAGATATAATGCTACATGTCACTCAGAACAGACCTTGTCAAGTGGATTGATGGAACAAGAACAGAGACACAA